TAATATTAAGGAAATCTTTATTCTGTATTAAATTAATATTAAGGAAATCTTTATTCTGTACTAAATTAATATTAAGGAAATCTTTATACTGTTCTAAATTAATATTAAGGAAATCGTTATTCTGTATTAAATTAATATTAAGGAAATCTTTATTCTGTATTAAATTAATATTAAGGAAATCTTTATTCCCTACTGAATTAATATTAAGGAAATCTTTATTCTGTACTAAATTAATATTAAGGAAATCTTTATTCTGTTCTAAATTAATATTAAGGAAATCTTTATTCTGTTCTAAATTAATATTAAGGAAATCTTTATTCTGTATTAAATTAATATTAAGGAAATCTTTATTCTGCACTAAATTAATATTAAGGAAATCTTTAATCTGTACTAAATTAATATTAAGGAAATCTTTGTTCTGTACTAAATTAATATTAAGGAAATCTTTAATCTGTACTAAAGTAATATTAAGGAAATCTTTATTCTGTATTAAATTAATATTAAGGAAATCTTTATTCTGTACTAAATTAATATTAAGGAAATCTTTAATCTACTAAATTAATATTAAGGAAATCTTTATACTGTTCTAAATTAATATTAAAAATCTTTATGTTCTGTACTAAATTAATATTAAAAATCTTTATTCTGTATTAAATTAATATTAAGGAAATCTTTATTCTGTATTAAATTAATATTAAGGAAATCTTTATACTCTACTAAATTAATATTAAGGAAATCTTTATACTGTTCTAAATTAATATTAAGGACATCTTTATTCTGTATTAAATTAATATTAAGGAAATCTTGATTCTGTATTAAATTAATATTAAGGAAATCTTTTTTCTGTATTAAATTAATATTAAGGAAATCTTTATTCTGTACTAGATTAATAGTAAGGAAATCTTTATACTATTCTAAATTAATATTAAGGTAATCTTTATTCTGTACTAAATTAATATTAAGGAAATCTTTATTCTGTTCTAAATTAATATTAAGGAAATCTTTATTCTGTACTAAATTAATATTAAGGAAATCTTTATTCTGTAATAAATTAATATTAAGAAAATCTTTATTCTGTACTAAATTAATATTAAGGAAATATTTATTCTGTATTAAATTAATATTAAGGAAATCTTTATTCTGTATTAAATTAATAATTTTCATGGTGTATGATGAAATTTGTTTGGCCTTGAAAAATATTGCATCCTCCGTGATTTCATCAGATTTTTAACACACCCAGACACTATTGTCTCGACTGTTGATTAGTTGTCTTATGACCATTGTCTGTGATGGATGTTACTCTAAGGAAGCGTATGGAAATTATAATGCTGCACGAACACACTGGCAAGCCTTAGCAGTGAGCAGATCTGAGTACGATAGATTGGCCTCGAAAAACTCCTGATGTAAATCCAATCGAGAATCTGTAGTCAATCTGCAAGGAACGCCTTCGTGGAATGGTATACAAAGTACTAACATGGGAAATGGGTCATGTTTTAATGGAAAAATAGGGAAAAAGTAAATAATAACAGAATCATTCGTTTTGTTTCAATTAATTTGAACAAGGGTGTATTCTAAAGTGAATCTGAGTTGTCTTTTTGGTTTCTGTTGGTATGTTTCATTTGGAATAAAATTGTTCAGGCCTGAGAAGATCCATTCGGAGATGAGGAAGGCAGTTCTGAAAACCTTTTTTTGATGAAAGGTGTATGTGTGTGTGTGTGTGTGTGTGTGTGTGTGTGTGTGTGTGTGAGAGAGAGAGAGACAGACAGACAGACAGACAGACAGATAGACAGAGAGAGAGAGAGTAGCTTTTGCAATGTAGGATCTGAAGCTGTTCCAGTAAGCTTTATCGTTTCGAAAGATCGGCCTCTGAAATGGTGTCTCAGGGGATGTTTTCAATTTGCCATCGACTTCAACATTGATCAGTCTTTGGTCAGTAGTGTCCAAAAGAGGTAGTGATTCAGCGGAGCATTTTTCAGGGCAAGACTTGAGAAAGAAGTCTAGGAATTTTACTTGATGTCAAGAACATGGGCGGACTTATCAACTACTAGCAGTAGAGCCCGGCGTTGCCCGGGGATGTAACAGTAAGAGATAGATCAAGTATCGACCATCATAAAGACTGAAAAATAAAATTGACAAAGATTATTGTTTAATGTTGACGGACACGCATGTCTTAATTAGTTTTTTTGTTTTGTTTTGTTTGTTTTTTTTAATGAATTGGTCAAACCCAAACTCAAACAAAAACATTGTTTTCAATCGTTATGAGTCTATTGAATGAATAGAATTTTATTATAAACAATTGTCTTGTAAATGGAATTTTTAAAGCTTTCTGAATGTAAAAATAAAGAAAAAAGTGTAATAAATATGGTGACAAAGATGAGGATAATGTAAATAGTGTACATAATACCTCATCTCAGAAATATAGACATATACTGAAGGGCCGAAACATTGTGATGAATATGGCAACAAACATGAGGATAATAGTCCAAATAATGTAAATAGTGTACATAATACCTCATCTCAGAAATATAGGCAGGTCGTACACATGACTGTTCATAATTCTTCCTAGCCATTAAAAATTAACAATTCTTTGTTTTATCTACACAATCTTTTTCTTCCTTGCCTTAAAGGCAAAAGGCTATTACCCCATTTTGATTGTATTATTTTGCATGTGAACTCTGTTGTAATGATATTATTTTTATTACTTTTATAGTTGCTTTGCTTTGCCTTATATTACATTGTTTTTATCTCGTATTATTTTGCTACGTTTTTATTCTTCATCTTATTGAGAATTTTGTCAATTTTGCTTAACTATACCTGCTTCCTCAACACATAATATCCCAAGCTAATCAGTTGATTCCCAGATGATATTTGAATTCAGCCTGTGAAGACTGACACATATTCTGGGAATAAAGTCAGGGCAAGTCTTGCACGATTTATTTTTTTTTCCCCCACTTTTCTTAACAATGTATATTTAGTTCTTTGGAAAGTAATATTGTACTTATAATGAATGAAAACCCATTAGGCTATTACAAAGTTAAATTTATTTACCATCAACGTCATAATGTGAGAAATCCTCTATAAAACTAATTTCTTTCTCCCTTGTTCTGAATTCATTATACTGAAGTTCTGATCTCTTGAACTTAGGGCTGGTGCAAGGGTCTCGTGAGCCCACCTCGAATCTATTATATGCCCCCCCACTCTACTGCATCTCAATTTTCATAAGATCGTATATATATATATATAAAAAAAATTTATTGTAAACTAATTATGTACAGTGCAATACAGGTGAACAATTCAACTAGAAAACCGTCCTGGGTATGACGATAAACTACATCCGCATCGTGGATAAGACAATAAACTACGTTCAACAGCAAGGCTTCTGATCAGTAGGTTTTGAGGAGCGTGGAAGCACCTCTTAATCTAGTTCCACGTGCCATGTCTAATGGATGTCAATTATCTCCTGTTAATTCCCCTCTGAAAGTTCTCCACTGCCTTAACCAGGTATTGGACACACAATCTTTGGGTCCTGTCACTGGATCTAACTAACACCTTTATCCACTGTCATGTGTCCTTGTCTTAAGGCAGTGGAGAACTTGGAGAGGGGAATTAACAGGAGATAACCGATAACTGACATCCATTAGACATGGCACATGGAACTAGAACAGTCTACCCCAGTGAGGGAAATAAAGGGTTCAGTTCGACATTCCAACCACCTGAAGAAGGTCGGAGCAAAACGTTGTAATAAATATGGTGACAAAGATGAGGACAATAGTCCGAATAATGTAAATAGTATACATAATACCTCATCTCAGAAATATAGACAAATCATGGATTTTATATAGTATTTTTCTAGACTTAGCATGAGCAAAGCAAATTCACGTGTAGGAAAACAAACCCTCAAAAAACCTGATATTACTAAAGGCTCCCTGACTTTAAGTGACTATACTAAATACCTCATTTTTAGAATTGGCTATGCTGGGGACACCATGACTTGAACTGACAAAACCAAAGACACTATATAAATATTTTTTTAAATATTTCTTTAGATTATATTTTCTTTATTAGCAGTCAATAGCCATGACTTATTGGGAAAGAGTCTTTTTCTTCACTTTCAAACTAATGCACGAATCCGCCTCTTCTTGCCCCACATATGGGTTAAATAACAGAGCAGCTGAATCTCTCTGACCCTAAATTCAAAATCATTCGGGTGACAATAGGGAACTACTCCATTATCTTTCCCATAAAGGCATGTCGATTCACAGATATTAAACAAAAGGAATCTGTGGAGAGCCGTGATCGTCTACGTTCCGAAGGCATTTAAAAATATTTTGAAAACAAGAATGCTCTTCTTTTTTGCCATTACTTTTAATCATTGGATTCCTTTCCCGGGAACAGTATCTCGCAAATTCGTCTAGCAGATTATTATTCTTGTAGTGATTTCAATCCTCAGTTGGAGCTTCATAACCGTGGCCTTGTGCCAGACAGGTCTAACCTTAACTTATTATATCAATAAGCTTCTTTTTTGTAAGTGTAAATTTAAAAAAAAAATTACAGGCTTGATTATTTATTAATCGAAAGCAACATTGTTTATGATGTTGCCAGATAGGTGAGGCTCAATGTGTATCAGATATTAATTTTTCCCGCTCTTTTTTTCTTCTTTCTAGATCATGGAAATACTTCGTTGAGCATTATTATGAAGGACACCAGTGACTTCATTGGCGTGGATTGCCCAGAATAGAGACGAATTGACCTCAGAAATAAAATATATCTATATTTACATATACATACATACATACATACATACATACATACATACACACACACACATACACACACACGCGCACACACACATTTATATATATATATTTATATATCGCAATTTTTTCTTTTGATCTCATCAAAGTTGCCATATCAACTTATGACTTTCTTTTCGTCTGAATACACGATTGACAACAATCGGAAGTAATTACCCTTCTACCGGAAGTTATAACGACACCATTATGCTACCGGAACGCCAAGCTTTCTCTTGGTTAATCCTGTGTCCCACGGCCATTGTGACCAACTGCTTGGCTGCATTAACCATCACACACTACAAACGTGCGTACATAGGGACAGACATGATTATTATCTGTTTACTGTCAACCATGGCTATGAACGCTGGACTCTTGCTTGCACCTGCCATCTTTGTTATGCTCAATATTCAGTCATGGCCCCATGATTTCTGCCTTTTCTACATTTGGGCATTCGGTTTTTTACGTTCAATGGGTCTTGTTGGCCTATTCGTTCTTAGTTTCCACTGGTCATACCTCTCCAGAATGACCCCTTTGCACCGAGTTCAGACTTCCAGCCGTCCCGTCATATGCGCTTTGATTGTTATAGTTCTCATCTCCGTTGTGGTTGGACTCTTACCCTTGGTTCGAATGATGATGAGAGAATCGGCTGGCACCGAAAGTTCTGAAGAGTCAAGTTCTGTGATTCTTCTGTCGTCTATCTTCGACGAGAAAAAACAGGTGTGCGCTTTTCTTACCTACGACGCCGAACCCGTCTTAGCCATCTTTATAATCATTCTAACCCTCATGGTATTTTTGGCCATGATCATCTGCCTAACCGATTCTGGCATTTTACTCCACAGCTACAAAATAATGTTTATTGTCAAGTACAAATCTGGCGGTTTTTACGACCCAGAACAAGCACGATCGTTATGGAGTCAATCGGGCCTCGTCAGCGACACCTATTCCGAAATCAACAACACTTTTGACCTTTGGAGAGTCGTTCTACTCCAGTTCTTGCTATGTACCTTATTGAATCACATCCCTTATGTGGTAAGTACACTGTTTATCTATATTTCAATTTCTTTTAATCATTTTATTCCCAGCAAGGCAATAAAGCCACTAAGGCACAAGGGTTATTGAGCATGAAAGTATATAAATATGAAAGAATTATCATTTAGGCTATAGGCTCACTTTTATATTTTTCAGTTCCAGTTTCTATAGAATTCACCATTTAAAAGAATTAAATTAAAAAGGACCTTAAATAAGATAAATATTATTTTTATAAATGTACTGGATAGTGGCTCGGGTTGATGAATTGAAGAGCCGAGTTCGAATTTCAGTAGAATCCATTACATTCCCTTACCTGCTAATACCCTTAGGAAAGGCATGAATCCTCCTCTTCTTTTCCTCCCAGCTATGGGTAAATAGCAGGACAGACCGGGTTCTATAGCCTTGGATGGCAACTGGTCTACTGTTTTTTTGAAATGGCAACCTACTGGGAAAAATCTGCCTCGTACGTCATGTATCGAAAGATACATGATCGCTTAATAGAAGAGTAACCAGGAAGACAGTAGATAACGATTGACATTGCATTTATATTTTTGAAGATCAAAGTTGACAGGAAAGCAAGAAGCCGGAAGAGAGTTCCACATGCGAAAATTTAGAGAGAACAATAGAAGAGTAATCAGGAAGGCAGTAGATAACGATTGACATTGCATTTAAATTTTTGAAGATCAAAGTTGACAGGAAAGTAAGAATCCGGAAAAGAGTTTCACAAGCGAAAATTGAGCGAGAACAATAGAAGAGTAATCAGGAAGACAGTAGATAACGATTGACATTGCATTTAAATTTTTGCAGATCAAAGTTGGCTGGAAAGCAAGAAGCCGGAAGAGAGTTCCACAAGCGAGAAGTGGGAGAAAAGAAACTGATAACATAGGACTTAGTTACATCTAGTCAGTTCAATCTTAAATTGATGAGACCTTTTTACTAATCTAGTACTGCAATTAAATTGATACACCCGGAAGAGATTTTCACAAGTGAGAAATGCGAGAAAAGAAAATGTTAGCACGGTTACAACTAGTCAACCTTAAATTAATGAGACCTTGATGCCAAAAGAAACAGGCCCCAGATAGACCTAGACTTCAAATTTACGAACTCCTGGGATCACGCTTTTGATTGAACAGCAAATAAAATAGTACATATTTTTCTAATTAAAAAAAAAACCTGCAACAATTCGCCTGGACAGAAATAATCTTGGCGGCTCCTTAACCACTAAGTCTAAAAATAGGAATTTTTACAAACACAATGTAACAATTTATTACAACCTGCCTGGCTTTCTTTAAAATACACTTCTCTAAAAAGTGCAATAGACAGATCTAGACGATTATAATATTTATTTGTTTATACTTTTTAATTATCCATTTTATTAATGTACACTACTAATAAATTTTCCTATAATGTTGATGAGTCAGCAGATTGGCTTGTTTTTCTCGCTTCAAAGCTTTCTACCCACTCATATATCTTTCGTTGATTAATGTTGCTTGATCGATACTGCACCAACATCCAACGATGAATTTCCGATAGTTTGACTCCCTCTACCTAGAAAAGGTGCACTACAGCGCGTTGTTCCTTGATGGTGCAATCGTTGAGTGGTGCGTCCATACGTCTGACCTCGTTGCTCTCTGACACTCAACTGAACGATGGGATGCTGCGCATAGCTTGTTACCCTCTGACTTAACCTCGTATCAATCGCTGTGCCCAGCCTTTTCTATGATGTCTGTCGGTTCTAAAAAGGGAAGACGAGACATCAGTCGACATAAACAGAGAATGGAGAATAATCTCCCACCGTAGTTACCGGAGCGACAGACCCCACTCTCCCTGAAGAAGTCCAGAGAGCACAACGGCTGTGTAGCTGTGATGATGATAATAACATTAGTTCAATTTAGTAAGACTTGTATCACTATTATTCTCATCTTGATTGACAGAGATGTTATTATAGATACAACGTTTCGACCAAGTACACTTTGGTCATTATCAGGTGTCCATTGATTAGCTGATATAGGATATCTGCTGATCATTGTGATATTCTATTCCTACAAAGGACAAAGAAATTATTGGGAGCGATGATCGCTCATGCCCTGAAAGAATACAGCACGGAGAAGAAATGATTTTGGGATTCTACAGAAGGATGCTGAGGATACTGTGGATTTAACATGTGAGCAATGAGGAAGTTTTAGAGAAAATAGAAACAAAAACGAAACTTATACTTAACATAAGGAAGAGACAGTTGAAATTTCTAGGGCAGATAATGATGAAAGAGGGCCTGGAAAATCTGATACTCACAGGACAGACTGAAAGCAAGAAGGACAAAGGAAAACAACACATAACTGAACTGGTGAGCTTGAGTAAGGTTTAGGAAAGATAACAAAAAGACAAAATGTATTAAAAGCTACAAAAGATTAGAAATTGTGGAGAGCCATGATCGCTGACAGGACACAGGACAGAAAAGAAATGTTTTTGTCATCAATACCAAATGGGAGAGCAGCCTTTGAAGAATAGCATTAAAAGAACTCTCAATAACTGGATAAACTCTACTCATCAGAGGGTCAAGGTTGAAAGGGTTAAATTATGTATGATTTAAAGGTCAAACTGTTAATAAAACATCTTTCTTGCTGAGTTTTTTTTATTCAATTGTAATATTAAATTAACAATAACCAATCAAAATGTCTACACAGTTAAAAATTTTCTATATTTATGGTAGAAGAGCATTTATAGATAAAGAAAGTGTGAATATGGAAATCAACTTTGATCTTCAAAAATTTAAGTGCCATGTCTATCGTTATCTTATCTTAATTCTTGTTCTTTTATTGTTATCTCTCTCTCAAATTACACAAGTAAAGAAGTTTAAATATCTGAGAAGTGTTTTAACAGAGGACAGAAAATGTGATACTGAAATCTGAAGGTATATTGGACTAATAAAAGATGCCTTTTTAAAGCTAAGCAAAGTATTAAATAGGAAAAATTCATTAGAAACCAAGAAAAGAGTGCTGAGCTGTTATGTAATATCAATCCTCCTATATGGCAGTGAATACTGGAAAATTTCCTCAGTGATGAGAGTAGACTTGAGGCAACAGAAATGAGGTTCTACAGAAGGATGCTGAGAATATAATGGATGAAGCATGTGAACAATAAGGAAGTTTTAAGGAAAATAGAAACAAAAGAAAAATTTGTGCTTAGGATCAGAAAGTGATAGTTGAAATTTTGAGAACACATAACAATAAAAGAGGGCGTGGCAAATATGACACTCAAAGAACAAAATAGCTAGATGCAACCGTAAGTTCTATGCTAATAGTTTCTTTTTTCGTACTTCCCGTCTGAGTAACTCCCTTCAGGTTCCTCGCTTCCCTGCCATTAACAATCTTCAAAAAATTAAATGCCACATCAATCGGCATCTCTTGTCTTTATGAAATCTCTTCTTTTATTGTTCTTTCTCCTCACTAAAAGTCTTCTTATTCTTTTTCACATTCTTTTCGCTGGTGTCTTAGTGTGATTATCTACTTGCTTGGTTATGATATATATATATATATATATATATATATATATATATATATATATATATATATATATATATATTTAATTGGAAACGTTTTATTGAAAATAGACTTGAATCATATATTTCGTCATTCAAAACGAAAGAAATAAATATGTAACAAAATTAATGACGAAAAATGGAATAATCAAATTGTTGAGGCTTGGATAAGCATGGAATAATAATAATACAACACAAAATGTACATAAACAAAATGTATTGAAACAAGGAAAAGGTACACAATATTTACAGTTAGTTTTGGTATATTCTTGGGAAGACTGTTCCTGTAGAATGGGTTGACTTAATCGCAGTCGGGCAGAGTCTCTGGATTGGATCTCTTGTTACTCCCTGGTCTTCCCGGTACCAACCCATATTTATATGGTCGGTACTCCACTATGTAAATTAGGTGGATCGTACCACAACACAAATCTATTTTCAATCAAATCTATTTTCAATGAAACGTTTTTCAATTGTCAAATTTAAAAAAAAACATTGCCAGGATTCCTGTATCCTATTTTAAACACGCACGCACATTTACAATTGATATATATATATATATATATATATATATATATATATATATATATATATATATATATATATTTAAGGCTCAAACACTATTATTCCATGGTTTATAATTTATTACATTGGGAACGGGTTTATGATCCAATTCATCAGACCTCGAAATTGGAAAATTAAGTGGAAAATATAACTCCAGGTATAAAAAAATAAAAAGTTTTAGTGAGATTGTTCTGTGTGGGAATGGAAACAAGAAATAATCGAAATATGAAATAAAGTAGTGTTTTTTTGTAACAGAAGAAAATAAGAACAGGAAGGCCTACAAGTTAGGTGACAGATTCAAATTTAACAGAAAGAAGATTAAAGAAAGGAATTAAATAACGGATTAAAAGATTGAATAAGATAGATAAATATGAATTATTTTCAGATGCAATCAATCCTTATATATGTCAATATAGATGTCTGTGTGCGTACAATGTGTTGTATTATAAATCTTTCACACATTTACATGTGTGTACGTGTCCTTCCTCCTTTTCTTCAAGAACACAATCTGATTCCCCCATACAATATATATATATATAAATATATTTTATGTATTTAAATTTGTTCCTATGTTCTTGTAATATAAATTAAAATCATTGAATAATGCATTTCCATTATTTTATGTCTAAGAATACATATAATCCCCCTCTTCTATCATTAATGCTTGTCTTCATTCCTGACTACTGACAGTGCTTTTCTGATTTCCAATGCATTTTATGGTAAATCCGAACACACATATATATATATATGTATGCATATAATAGCCTTATCAGTAATGCTTGTAATAATTCCTGACCACTGATAATCTCTTAATTTCTCATTTTCAATGCCTTCCTAAAGTTTAAATCATTAGATAATGTATTCCTTTTTTATTAAATTCAAATTTTTTGTGGTATTTTTAGATTTCTAGAAATCTTAGTAATGTCCCCGAGTCTGCATGTTCTTTCAAGTTTTTTTCTCCCAAATGGTCTTAAAGTTAGGACCATGGAATTTTTTTCCACTCCATGAAGGTTGCAAATTTTACATATGTGAATTTTTAACGTGGGTTTTTGCCCGTAGTTTCATAATATAAAATGATATATAAACCCGTATAGACGTGATCGTGTAGGTCAACTTCCCCGAACGAGACTCTGCCCTTCGGCGGAATTTGGCCTCGAAGTTTTTACTATATCAGAATTAGACAGTTCGACCGTCAAGCCGTTTTTCTCTGGTTCGATTCACTAAGTCCCATTACCAGATATTAACTAATACTGTTCTATCCGTTCGATATGCGTAATATATATATCGTTCGAAGGAGTTCATTCTGTCGGTCTAGGCAGGCACCATGACAGTCCCTATGATATAAAAACAGAGAGAAGACATTAGAAACAATGGCAATAAGAATTTCCCTTACTCAACATACGGCATATTTAACTGATGCAGTCAAAAATGAATTTCAAATCATATAAACAAAAGTACTTAAATTTTAGTTCTTAATGTCATGCCTGAAAAAAAAAAGCCACTTTATTAAATCCAGATTAATTAAAGTCCAATTGTTGGCCATTCAATAGGGACCCGGCGGATTTAATATCAACCACCATTGTTTAATGTTATTAAAAGATTATGAACGGATTTAGGATTTATCAGAGAATATGTCTGTCATTTTAAAATTCCTTTGACACAAATGTATTTTTATTTTAAATTAAACCCAATTTAAATATATCTTTATTAGACCTAGTCCATCTATATCTCTCTATCTATCATCTATCTATCTATCTATCTATTCAAAATTATTCTATATATCTATCTATCTATCTATCTATCTATCTAATCTATTTAATTTGATTCAAAATCTATCTATTTCATATCTCTTTTGTCCAGATAAATCTGTCCATCTCTTCGTTTATCTATTTATCTATTTTTGTCTCTTTCTATCTATCTATTCATATATATATCTATATCTATCTATATATCTATCTATTATTATATATATCTATCTATCTATTTATTTGTCTCTTCATTATCTATCTATCTATCTCTTCATTATCTATCTATCTGTTTATTTGTCTCTTCATTATCTATCTATCTATCTATCTATCTATCTATCTATCTCTTCATTATCTATCTATGTGTTTATTTGTTTAATATAAACAAATTATTCATATATATCTATCTTTTTTCAGTCTGCTTGGTTCTATCAGAATATCATCTTAACTCGTTATTGATTAAATGACCATTTACCATTTTTCCCGATTTTCATATAGTAAAACCATGAGAAATACATTTACTTGTGGAAAGGAGTTTTCCTGGTTTAAATAAATCCGACAATGGTTTCTTTACACAATAATAATACTTTGTGCACATATATCAAAATTCTTACAATATTTCCCCAGTTTTATTAATTTGGCTCGATCGTTCATTGTTTTAAAATAGTATTATTTTGAAATCACATACTAAGAATTTTTTTCTATCTTATAATTTGACGTAAATTGGGACCCATATCTTTCCACACTTTAAAAAGGGTATATGAAATTTTTCTCATTTATAATCAAAAATTAAATAGTGAAATTAAAGCATTATGGAATGAAGACCATTTATTTATTGTAACTTATATATATATATATATATATATATATATATATATATATATATAGTCAAGGGCCGTAAATTCTCTTCCATAAAAAGTATTTTCTTTGAAATCATTACTCATTCAGATTTAGGATCATCTGATTAATTATTTGAAACGGGATAGAAACCCGACTTTTTTTCGGATGTCTTGAAATAGATTTACACAAACAAGTATATATATATATATATATATATATATATTATATATATATATATATATATATATATATATATATATATATAATCCATACATTTTTTCCTGAAGAGAAGGTGCTTTTATTTAGATTTTTATACAATTTTCTCATAAGATTTAATAATTTTTTTTTTTCAGATGATAAATTATATAAAAACTGTCCGAATATTCTTTTTTCCGAGCGCTTTTCGGCTATACATTTAGCCATTTTCAAGGATTAAATATTTTAACTAATTAAATAAGAAATAGTTTATTGTTTTTATATATTATCATTTGAAAAAAAAAATTATTAGATCACATGATTTGTATAAAAACTAAATAAAATACCTTTATCTGTCGTATTCAATGAAATGTGCATGAAAGAAGGATTATGCCTAAATAGATAATTTATAATATATAAATATATATAAATTATATTTAAATATCAAAATTTATATTCCGTGAGCCAACAAATCAGTATTAATCAAAAGTAAAACCAAAACTAAAGATCTTCTTTTTTTGAACGACCCCCAACCTGTCAATCACAACATGATATTTCCTATTTTTTGTTTTTTTTTTTAATTTCGACAAAAAATTAAATAAGAAAGAATATATCTCCCTTTATAAATTCAACATATTTAACTATTTATTTAGGATCAAGGTTTAGAATTAAAAGAATGCGGAATAAACGACATTGCTTATAATATTTTTTTAACATTTCAAGATGATTTTCAAATGGTACTGTCTAAGGGGTTACAGAGTGAGAGCAAGATAAAGAAAAATGTTTGAGGAAATAATAAAGAGAAAGACGGGGATCAGGATCAAGTTCATCAGAAGATATCGATTGACATTACATTTGAATATTTGAAGATTATAGCTATGTTGTGGATTCCGAGATGAAATTCGGTCTCCAATGAATGACAAACGCAGGAATGAAATATAACAAATAAATGTATTTACACAATAATACAATTGGTAATACTGTTAGTAAATCCAGAAACGCGGTTAATTATATATATATATATATATATATATATAGTAAAATTCAGTCTCGAAGTAGGACTTCCTTAGAGTCTACGTGCTTGTAACTGTGACTTCTACAAGCGGTTACCGCACACTATTACTCTACCTCCAACTCAATCACAATCTCAATCTCTCTACTCTGACTGACTCTGGGTATTTAACGGCAGCATTCCAAGTACACACTGGTAGAGTCCACTTGTATGAAAATGGGTGGACCTCATAGCAAGCTATCAAGGAAGCAAGTAAGAGGAAGGGAGTTCCACTGTCGGGAAGTGCGAAAGAAAAGCTGCGGAGTAGAAGAACATACAAACATGATCGACAGTGAAATTTGGGGAACGAGATGCTAATAAAATATTAAATTCTTGCAGTTTGTACCAAGAAGTGAAAGTGCCTCGCCAGAGCAGTTGATATGTTTTCAGTTTTAGAAATCGAATGTTTCCCATTTATAAACGCATAAAATACTTGCATTAGGATAACCCAATAAATACCTTGGCTCCATAAACAAAACAGCTCATAAATTTGATTTAAAAAATGCTACCTTATTAAAAAGAAAAAAAAAAGTTAAATGACATATAATGGAGAAAATCCCTGGAAGGAATATTTATTAATAATCAACATAAAATATATGTACATCAGACACACTTTTTCATATCAGCAATATTCGCAAAAACAATACTTAACGAATTGAAGATCTAAACGTTTGCCGGGGTGGTAGCACCTGTTAGGGTTCCAGGTATGGGCAAATATTGAACCTGTAAATAAAACACCATGAAAATGTAAAATAACCAACAATACATTTTCTGTAGTTGAAGCCATAAAATTATGTTCAAAATATTTAGATTTCGACATTAAATAAGCAATATACCGCTAGACAAAATTATTCAAACCACATATTGAATGGAAACGTTTGCATATGATATCATTTAGTATTAAACAGTCACTTCCAGCATTCGTTATATTTAACATACAACCAGCTTAAAAGCCGCACTCCGTGCTCAATTTTAAACTAAATCCTGCAGAGGGTTAAATGGGCTTATAATTATAGTTAATTTACTTCAATTGGGTTAATTGGGCTTAGGCCTAAAGCTAAAGGAACTTTTCCTAGTTTAGAAAAACAGCAATGATATTTTTTTTAAATAGGTAAAAAGCAAGTCTGGAAGCCACTAGCACGCAAGGCGTTACAGAGAATTGGAAAGAAAGCAGGTTTTGAATGATAGAGGAAAGGAATAAGGATAGGGGATAGATCAAGGCACCTGGAGACGTGGATTGACATTACATTTGAATAGTTGGAGATTATAGCTAAGGAAACAGGAAGAGAGGTGCGAGACATGAAGCTATTGGAGAAGAAGAGACGGTTATATTTAACAGTTTCGACAGTGAAAAGAGTGAGAGCGAGATGCCAGCCTAGTTGAGGAATAAATTCATGAAGTTTGGGAACCAACGAAAGGAACTCATTGGAGCAGTTACCATGAAAGTATTTGTAAAAAAGACAGGGGGGGGCAACTTTTCTTTGCGGTGGGCGAAGCTATTGACTCAATGTAAATTATAATTCATTTGTTCTCATTTTTCCAGAATATATATATATATATATATATATATATATATATATATAGATCTTTATGTAAATTATTCTTAGTCAGGAATCTGCCACCCTCTATCTTAAAAACAACTTCAAAGAGGCCGCTCGACCAACACAAGGACTGACCAAAATTAACAATAATAAAAAAAAAAAAACAGATGAAAACTACAGATAAAGTTCACTTTCTTCAGAAACAGTCATTCACTCCTGTAATTCACTGCTACTAACAATGTCCTGATTATGGACATGCTGACCGAAACTAGTCGTGGAACCCAATTGAAATAATAAAGCAAAAAATTACTAATATATAATCCAATGTGTCTGAAAATTTTAATATTTTTTATTGTTCAAAACATATATATATATATATATATATATATATATATATATATATATATATGTTGCATGAAAAATATTTTTACTAACTTTGGGGCGCGGGTTTCTCCCACCAAAACAAGGACAACAGTTCATATAAACATATTTTATGCTAACTCCCGCGTAGGGCTAAATCGGGTCTCCAGCCTTAAAATAAAGGGTACTTTGGTTCAGCTTCGAAAACATCAATAATAATTTTGAACAAATAACTTTGAACTGCTCAGTTCACTCCATGGGACTTCAAAACCTCATTTAGGTATAAAGTTCAATTCCGGCTAAAAGATCGATTTGCACCGAAAGTTCGATTTGAGCCGAAATTTCAATTCAGGCCAAAAATTGAGTTCTTCAAATCACAAATTCCATATGAAACTTCAACACCTCATGTCACGAAAGCTTCTCAGTTTAACTCTAATTCCTTGGCATTTTGAAGAAATAAAATTAATTTCCTCAATTCATAAAAGTTTTGGAGATATTTTTAAACTGAATTTAAGTTTTTGTGTAACACTAAACTCAATACAAAATAAAAACTTTTAGAATCACTAATTTTTTTCAGTTATTTTAAAATTTGAATTTTTAACTGTTACCTCCTCATCCGGATACAAATCCCAAGCGGCAGATGAAGGGCAGATTTTTAATTAATACATTTTGTTCAGTGTTGGTTGGTTGGTTGGTTTTGATATAGAGAGCCTCGACAAAGTGTTTGTTTAGTATTTTCAATTGTTTATTATTCAAACGTATTTGAATATATATATATATATATATATATATATATATATATATATATATGGTATAAAATCACATCGTCTGAGCATTTTCCATGGAAATAGTGACAGGGTAGTGAGAGGCTGGTGACGTAGGGGGTGAGGGAATAAGCACAAGCACGTGGGACGCTTTTGGACTCTATCGAGACTGGAAAGTGGGGACTAGGCAGCTCCTGTCCATATATGGCAGCAGTGTTCCATTTTCGACTTGATCTAACCCTTGTAAAGGGAGAGGATAGCGCGAGGAGTCAGGTACTTACTGGAGCGATAGAGGGAACCGATTATTTTCCCATCATCTTTAGCGATGGATCGTATGCACGAGTTCCCCTTGACGTTTTGGTTGAGTTTAAGTATACTTTCATAGTGTATTTTCATAGTGGACTCTACCTATTTGAAATAAGCTGGAAGAGTCAGGTACTTCCTGGGGCGGTTCGTAGAAAGGAGCTGCTCGTGAGGAATTTACATCTCACCAATGGAATAAGAAGGGAATGAGGGGGGTTCGTTACAATGGGCGTCGCATGGTGTGTTTAAACATGAAACTAAGGAATATGATTTGTCAGAACGCCTGCCATGGAAATAGCGATAGAGTAGCATTCGACTTTTCGTCTGTGGGAAAGGGGCTGTAGGGTGGAAAATAATTCATTACTCGCCATGATGCGGAGAACCTTTTGAACTCTATCGACAGTGGAAAGTGGGGATTGGGAAGTTCTTGCCCATGTATGGCAGCAGTTCTCCATTTTCGGCCAGATCTGGCTCTTGTAAAGTTAGAGGAAAGCTGGAGGAGTCAGGTACTTACTGCAGCGGCACGACTATTTTTTTATTATTTCAAAAGTTTTCATAGTGGACACTTCGTATTTGAAATAAACGACATTTCTATTAAACAGTGTATTATGTCTATCTGGCTGCGCATTTGAGAAATTTCAGTAAAGAAAAGGTTTCTCCCCACCCCCGGAAAGAATTGAACCTGCGCACCCCTATGTAGCCGAGCGTAAAAGTATGCCGGATCAAACGTAGATTCCCCCTAAAAAGGAGGACGCAGGTTCGATCCTTTTCGGAAGCCACATTTTCGTTACTGTGTCGGCTGATGCACGTAAAACACACTGTTTAATAATTAAGAATGGGGCGTCTATTTCAAGTACGAAGTATCAGTTATGAAAACATTTGAAATAATATATTGGTAATATTTTTATCTCGTCAAAATCATTAGCAATACTTTTAATATAGTCAAAATCATTAGCAATGTTTTGTTATAGTCAAAATCATTGGCAATGATTTGCTTTCGTCAAAATCAATAACGATTTTGATATTGTTGAAACCATTGCCAATGCTTTTCTCCATTAAAAGTTCCTGCTAGCTTTATGACTTGTGAACCATTTTGGCATTGTTTTTCTATAGTCAAAAGCATCGTGAAATTTTTCTTCGCATCGAAATCATTGGCAACGCTTTCTGTAGACAAAACCATTCGTACTGATTCGGTATCCTTACACTGAGTGATAATATTTGATTTCTATCCAAATCATTGGCATTGAATTTTAGACTCTGTATATTTGTTTGTTCTCTCTGATGGTTTTCGTCCCAATTTTCACGTATTTCCGCCAAATGTTACACAGAATAAAAATCTCCGTCCACTTTCGATTGATTTAATCAATGGCAGATGGATCGAGACGCTGTGTACAAAATCAATAACCACTTCTGACCTACTTTTCTAGGATTTTATTATTTAGCCTCCCGATTTTATAACACTCTTCACTTTCTTACTCTTTTCTCTCTCTCTCTCTCTTTCTTTCTTTCTTTCTTTCGCTTTTTCCATTGTTCCTTTTCCCCACTTCATTTCGTTTCATTATTACGTTTCGTGTTTTCTTTTTTTGTTGTTGCTTTCTGACGTTCCTTTTCTTTATTTCTTACTTTTTCGTTCTTTTCTTTCTCTTTCTTTCTTTAACTGCGTTTTTTTCTTTTTCTTTCTTACTATTTTTATTTTTTTTCTTTCTTCATGTTTTCTTTTCTTTCTTTTTTTTTTACGTTCTTTCCTCGTTTCTACGCATTTTTCTTCCTTTCTTTCTTATACTGTTTTCGCTTTCTTTCTTTCTTTTTTCTTTCTTTCTTTCTTTCTTTCTTTCAACGCCCTTTCCGCTTTCTTTCTTGTTTTTTACTTTCTCTTTTACGGATTTTTCTTTCTTTCTTTCTTTCTTTCTTTCTTTCTTTCTTTCTTACACATTCTGCTTTCTTTCTTTCTCTCAACATGTGACAGGCTGCAGTGTCCTATTGAATGTTGTCACTCTCACTGAAGAAGACTGTTACCATACACGTCGCCATATTGTCTCCATTGGTTTGTTGTTTTCCGCTATTACATCCGGGTTTCCTGTCAGATCCAGGATGTTAATTGTTGGACCAAGTGACATTCTTTCTTAGATACAATGTCCAGTTTCTTTTCAGCGCTGATCGATTTTCGTCGTCACAGACAATTGCCGAACGTGATCACTCGTGGAATAGTGCCATTTTGCAAATATTCTGATATACCGTATATACTCAGGCATAAGACGAGAAATATGAGACAAAAAATCGCTGATAAAACGATGGCTTGGTCAATCGAGGTCAATATTTTATCGACTTTCACCAGTTTCAACATCGATGTAAACGAAATGCGCCAAAATATGTGAAGTGATTGCTTTGCACTGAAACAATGTTTTACTTAGATTTTAGAAGTATTTTACAGAATATTTTTAGTACGTACTGTCTTTATGTTTTCACTTCTCCCTGTGATATGTAGGTATCAAGATTATATCAAAGTATATCAAGTTTACATCAAGGTATGTCAAGTTTATATCAAGGTATATAATGCGTTACTAACTTAACAAAAATGCATTTACTTGTCGCACGTAAAATGATTTCGAAGTTTTTAAGGTTCGCATTTCATTCAATCTGTATGTTAAATAAAATAAAAGATAGCGCAATTGTCGTCTGCTAAAAGGAAGTAAACAAAAATTGGAGAAACTCGTTGAAACTTTATAACACAGATGAAATGTGTAGAGAAACACCAGAGGGTGTTAATAATATTTATTGTGAACTTCGGAATAAACAAACAAAATATAAAAAAGATATAAACAATATAATTATGTTTATTTAATTGACTTTGATTGGGGCGACTCCTTTGTAAATCGATTCAGCGAAAGTTCCTTCGGCTGGGTAGTTGATAGATTTATGTGTCAGACTTTGGTAGTAATTGGGAGTGTGTTTACTTTGGATACAGGTGGCGCCAATCTGTGTTTTCTCAGATCTCAAAAAAGGCGTGAAAATGTCTTAAGCAGATGAACGCTTAGTTCTTCGCGCAACACGCTTGGGCCAGTTTCTAGCTGTCTCTTCCTTTGCTGTATGCCGGCTGTCTCTTTATATAAAATTTTAAAAGGCTCTAGACCCAACTTTCAGCTATCATCAAAAGTCTCAGGGTTCTTTTGACTGGCCAAAATTCTTTTATTAATTTTCCGGCGTTCGTTTCTTTTTCTTTTCTTTTTTTTTACAGCGGAAGTTATGCGTGGAGACTTTCTTGTTTTGGTCGTTTTCTAGTCACGAGAACTAGACTTTGGATTAGCCAACTTTCGTTTCACAGCAGTTGTTCAGTCTTTTCTTCTTCATCTTTTCATATGAGAGTTGCCGTCACATTATTTGAGAGAAGAGTAGAGAGAGAAGGGTAGGGAGTAGGTGGTTTTTAAGAAAAGCAAATGCCTTCTTTTAATTTGATTTTTTTTTTAAATTTTATTTTTATATTTTATTTTATTTTTACATTTGGGCACAATGGTAAAACAATTTTCGTGTAATGGAGAAAAACTCAACTCTTCCTTAAATGATCCATAAAAAATATTTCAGATATCGAAATTTTAAAACTTCATAAAAATATTATCTACTATTATCTACTATTTACCAGTGGGGCCTGGTAATATTTTGGTGGGGCATGTGTAGGATGTGCTCCCTTCGGCTTCCTATATCAAAAGAAGAAATGGGGCAATTCGAGAATTGTTTTCTAGTGAGTCTGAGTGAGAGTGTTAATGTTAATACATATGATGCATATACAGTTATGCATACATAAAAATATTTTGTGTCTATGTACGCAAATGTGTAATTGGCACACATGTAAGAATTAAATATTTCAGAGGTTGGCATCGGTCGTGAACCATTGATCTAAACATAATGCATCGCCTTATACACGGGGTTTGAATTTTTGCCCACTTTTTAGACATGAAATAGGTGGGGACGGTTTATATTCTAGTCGGCTTTTACACGGGTAGATGCAGTTTTGTTTTTTTTACTCTAATAATTTGGCTACTGTTTTGGTTGTTATCAAGTAATTTGGTGTTTCTCCACCAACCACCCATGAAAAGTGGTTAGTTTTCTTTTCCCGATGTTACTGGAGTTAATGTGCCGTTACACTGCCATCCTAAGGAAAGGAATCAATAAACAATCATAAACCAACTGGCATCCTTTTCGACAAACATTTCTGAATCGATTTCGAGTTGACTTAATGTCAGATATATTTTTATTTTCTTTTTAATACCTTTAATTTACTTTCCTAAATTTACGCCAGCTCAGTTGTGATGTGGAAGAAGTGTTTATCATTTTATCATACAACGTGTCAATTTTTATTTTTAGTGCTTTCCTCTGATGCCAAGTGAATTGCTTCATTTCAAACCAAACCTAGTGGTGTTTTGAATATATTCAAATCTTTGCATATTACTATAAGGAGCCTTTTATTTATCAACTACAAAATTTGTTGTAAGAAGCTGAACGAGCATATAACTGCTTAGCATTAGATTAAATTACCTCTCCACCTCTTTCGCTTTTACTTCTTAGGAAAGTTGAACGCCAGACTTCGATACACCTTACGAAAAAATGTAACCACTTGTATCTGTCCATAAGTAAAGTGTCTAGGATTTATATGCAGACAACTTCTTGTCATGCCTTATATTAAATTTTTTTTCCAGTGGGTTTGAATTTAGTGTAGGTCACATTCGATTGGTTAATAATGGTAAAGCCACAAGCGTATTTTTTATAGTATTCTGCTTTTGAAATGAAATTAATTGTTCACTCGCCAGTAGTTTAACATCGCCCGAGGAGACACATTTTTAGTGTAGAAACATAACTGTAATTGTGCTGCGATTTTTAACATATTTTTGTTTTAATATCGTAAAATAAATAATATTTAGCTCTACACTATATTGAGCCCACTTTTAAATTGAATGTTACATACAGGGAATTATACTCCATTTGTTCTCATTTATTTATATATATATATATATATATATATATATTCATGTGTATGTGTGTGTGTGTTTATGTGTGTGTGTGTGTGTGTATCAGCTTACGGTCAAATCACGCTGAAACACCGGTTCTCGTACGATCACCGAAGTTAAGCAGCGTAGAGCCAGGTCAGTACTTAGATGGGGGACCGCTTGGGAACACCTGGTACTGTAAGCCCCCAAAGTCCAACCCTTACCTCACAGTCGGTGGGGGGTGTAAACGTTAGTGTCAGAGCTATGCCGCCCGGAACTTCGTTCCTGGTAGGGCCACCCAAGGCGGACAGGTCTGACACACACACCGGCTAACAAGGGCTCTGGTGAAAATCCAAGGAGCGTCTGCATCGGTAACCGGCGGCTTCTGGTCGTTCCTGTCTCTGCGTCTGTGGGAACCCCGCGGCAAGAAAGAACGTTATCCGAGTAGGCCTGGGTACCCTACTTCTGTAATTTATCCCAAGAATCTTCTTCTCATAACAGGAAGAAGCCGGCTCAATCCGCCCAGGGTGAATGCCGCATCAGTACAGTACAGTACAGTATATGTATATACATATATATGTATATATATATATATATATATATATATATATATATATATATATATATATATATATATATATATATATATATATATATATATATATCGGCAGTACAAAGAATTCATTTAAAACTAGGTGCTATCAACATATATTATCTTTCAACAACAGCGCGTAGAGAAATAGGACGTCCCTTTTAAAATTTTTTGAAACTTAAAAGAAGTTAGCAAAACCCCTACTGGAATATATATATATATATGTGTGTGTGTGTGTGTGTGTGTGTGTGTGTGTGTGTGTGTGTGTGTGTGTGTGTGTGTCATTTCAGATATAACTAAAAATATATCTTTGACAGAATAATATGAATATAGACAAAGGAAAACTTAACTGACGCGTTTCCTTCTTTGAGGGAATTTATCAAGGCAAATAAGCCATTAGACGACGAAAGCCATTAAGATAAGCGTTACTTTTGTCTATATTCATATATATATATATATATATATATATATATATATATATATATATATATACAACAATTGTGTTTGTGTGTGTAAAATTTAAAATATAACTAAAAATATATGTGCAAAAAGACAATATGAATAACGACAAAAAGGAAAACTTATCTTGAGACGAATTTCGTCCCTTGATGGATTTTGTCATTTGTCTTGATAAAGTTCATCAGAGGACGAAACAAAGGTAAGTTTAGCGTCAACTAAGATAAGTTTACCTATTTATATATATATATATATATATACTGTGTGTTTATCTAAAAATAAATACGCTTAAATTCATACCTGCCGTGCGCCAAGGGCTTAGTGGTAGAATCCCCCGATTGACGCCAATTCACTGATGAGCTGTGATACAGCAGAAACAGCCTGTCTGTGGATGACAATATATATATATATATATATATATATATATATATATATATAATATATATCAAGAAAAGCTTAACACATCACGAAAAAATACGGTAATAAATCATGATTTATTTCGACCAGTAAAATTTTTTCATATATTGCTCTGTAGTCTATGCACTGAGCTCTCTACGGATCTATCTTTTTTATATTAAAAAAAAACAAATACTTATCCTTTACACGTATGAATTTGATATTATCTATCTATCTATCTATCTATCTATCTATGTGTGTGTGTGTGTTTATGGAGCCAAACATTAAACGCCTCTAGACATCTGTTATTTCATACGCAGTTACCAGTAGTAGGATTCTAAGGGCCTTGAATTTCGTTCTGTAATTATTATACAAGCGAAAACAGGTCACGTAGAATATTAGTGAATTGTTACGAGGCTGTCTTACAGAGAACAGGCGAATTATTTAGAATAGCTTATTAATTCAATTGTCCTCGGATTAAGTGAGGTTGGATTAACGAATTACATTAATCTTTTTTTCTTCAATCAAGTGTTCTAAATTCAGATCCTTTATAATGCGAGATTAAAATGACAATTTTTTTTTTTTGTTATTGTTTACTATTCTTGGGGCTTCCATATCAAGTCCCGTCTTTTCTATTTGACTGGCATAAAATAACATTTAGAGAAATAATCCAATCTTTAAGAGTCACTTGAAAAGTTCGCATCCAAACTAAGAGCTTAAACTAATTGTTTTCATTATTCTATATGGAACATTTGTCTTAAGGTTTGTTAATTTTAGCACACCATTCAGCCAATATGGCTTACGACAATATCACGTTGAAACACCAGTTCGCGTACGATCACCTAAATTAAGCAACGTCAAACTTTATCAGTACCTAGGTGGGTGACTCCTTGAGAATACCAGATGCTGTAAGCTTGGATGTGCGGGTGGTTTAATGGGTAATGGCTCGGAATTGTTAATCGGAGAGCCGAGTTCAATTCCTGTTAGGTTCGTTATATTCATTTACATGCAAATATATTTGGGAAAGGTATGAATTCATCTCTTCTCTCCCCAGATATGGGTTAATTAGTGAGCACTAAATCATTATTATATCACTCTCCACCCAGTTACAAGCTAGAAATATTTTTGGGATTTAAATAACTAGGAAAAGGTTGATAAGCCTTAAAAAACGAATCAATCAATCAAGAAGCTAATATATTTTATTGTTTCATTTATTTTTGGAACAGTTGCCTGTGTCTTCGTTGTTTTTAACGCACCATTCATTCAATATCTTCTTCAGCCTTCGAGTATGGCCTAAATTTCAGAAACGAACAATTTTCATTTTGACACCGATTTTTGGAACAGTTGTCCATATCTGCGTTGTTTTTAACGCACCATTCATTAAATATTTTATTTGTCCGTCCTGTATTGACTGAAGTTCAAAGGCGAAGTATTTTCATTTTTTCATCTAATTTGGGGGACTGCTATCTCCATTTTTGTTCTCTTTAAAACAATATGTCCCCCAGACTGTATATTGTTTGGCCTTAGCCAGACATATCCCATTTCGATAATTGTTTTCATAAAACTATTATGTGTTATAAGAAGCAATCCTTTTAGCCTGAGAAGTTTTGAATGAATGACTTCAATACGATTTTTTGTCAATATAAGACCGACATCTTGACAGACCCATTTTTTTTTTGCTTCTAAACAAACAATATCAAATTACAGAATATTTGAAAATAATAACTTCAACGATTATTTCAATTAATCGATGAAGAAGTAATCGATAAATTCAACATGTTGCAGGCTGAACGGGATATTTTCTAAACTAATCAATCATGTCATTAGCTATTTCGGTTAGATCGCCAGTCAATTTATATTATAAGGTTTTTTGGATATACTTTGAACGAATAGATAATGAACATTCTGAGATAGATAGATAGATAGATAGATAGATAGATAGATAGATATGAACAGATAGATAGATAGATAGATAGATAGATAGATTGAGATAGATAGATATGAACAGAGATATAGATAGATAGATAGATTGAGATAGATAGATATGAACAGATAGATAGATAGATAGATAGATAGATAGATATGAACAGAGAGATAGATAGATACATAGATAGAAATAGATAGATATGAACAGAGATATAGATAGATATGAACAGACAGATAGATATGAATAGATTCAGATACATAGATAGGTATGAACAGATAGATATGAATAGATTGAGACAAATAGTTATGAACTGATTGAGATAGATAGATAGATAGATAGATAGATAGATAGATAGATAATGAACAGATTGAGATAGATATGAACAGATTTAGATAGATTATTTTTACAATAATGTTCACCTTATACAAGGCCCAAGCCCCGTTCGAGTAGAAGGTTACAGAGGAAAACTGTTAACGCTAGACTTGAACGGGTTTAGAATGTAATAATCGGGAAAGCATCATCTTGGGAGTCTGTTCCACAAAACATCGGTTCGTAGAAAGAAGCTGCTCGTGAGGAATTTACATCTCACCAATGGAATAAGAAGGGAATGAGGGGGGTTCGCTACAATGGGCGTGGCATGGTGTGTTTAAACATGAAACTAAGGAATATGATTTGTCTGAACGCCTGCCATGGAAATAGCGATAGAGTAGCATTCGACTTTTCGTCTGTGGGAAAGGGGCTGTAGGGTGGAAAATAATTCATCACTCGCCATGATGCGGAGAACCTTTTGAACTCTATCGACAGTGGAAAGTGGGGATTGGGAAGCTCCTACTCATATATGGCAGTAGTTCTCCATTTTCGGCCAGATCTGGCCCTTGTAAAGTTGGAGGAAAGCTGGAGGAGTCAGGTACTTACTGGATCGGTACAGAGAATCGACTATTTTTTCTGGCATCTTTAACAATGGATTGTATGTACGAGTTCCCTTTGAGGTCTTGGTTGAATTTCAGTCCCAATAGTCGATCAAGAAACGTGGCCTCCCTGAGGGAACAATCATTCATCGTAACTGGTGGTAGTTCAGGGCCCGATCGGCGATGATGGTATGTAACTCGTTTGGTTCTCGAGGCGTTGAATGTAAGCGGTCGGTTTTCGGCTACTGAGATGTTAGAGCTAGTTCACAGTAGAGATCAGCTGCCAATCTCTGATCATCTAGCGCTTTGGAAGTGAACCCATATACTGTTACCCAATTTTTATGTCACTTAAATCACGCTAACAACCCAAGAATTAAACACATACACAAACGCCATCAGGTATACACGGGACACCCACACACAATATTGATACATATATACACACATACATACATACATACATATATATATATATATATATATATATATAGTCATTCACAGACAGACTGATTTGCTGTATCACAGCTCCTCAGTGTGACTAGACGTTCGATTGCTTCTGGCAGGGATCGGAACCCGACTTATTTGACATCAGTCAGATTATATATACGAGTCATCTATCTATCTATCTATCTATCTATCTATCTATCACAATCTGTTCATTATCTATCTATCTGTAACAGAGAGAGAGAGAGAGAGAGAGAGAGAGAGAGAGAGAGAGACAGACAGACAGACAGAAAGAAAGAAAGAGAAAGACCTGATGAGGAATATTTCTGCGAATATATGGTATCTTTCCAGTAGACATTTTAATTTGGTTAATTTGTTCATTTAAGTTAGTTTATAAGTATTTAGTCATATCTATATAATAATGATGTATACGGGCACATCCGTTTTCCGGGTCGGCCAACCAATCCTTGTTGCAGAAATCAGCTCAGGCACATTTATGTTTTTTTTCTATACCAACAGAGCTCATATGCTGAGCGGACCTTAGTTACAATTTCTGCGAGAGAACGCAACATTTGGCCTGATCAAACAGTTTGAACAAGGCCAGAACGCTAGAAGCCTCGGTCACGAAGACTTGTGACTTCATGCTACCGTAAATATCGACGGACTTTGAACAGCTCCATCTACTAAGTTTCATTGAAAAGGCTTGCGTCAACACTTGGCATGGTTTTCAATATATATATATATATATATATATATATATATATATTGGCAATTTCTAAAGAATTAATGGATTTATTTTTGATCCGACATTTTTATTATTTCAAACGTTTTCATCGTGGACACTTCGTATTTGAAATAAACGACTCATTTTTATTAAACAGTGTATTTTCATAGTGGGTTTTTGATAGTGTACTTTCATAGTGGACACTTCCTATTTGAAATAAGCTGAAGGAGTCAGGTACTTACTGGAGCGGTATGACTATTTTTTTCCAAGATCTTTAGCGATGAATCGTATGTATGAGCTCTACTTGAGGTCTGGGTGGAGCTTATGTCCCAATAGGCGCTCAAAGCACGGGGCCTCCCTGAGAGAAGACCCGTTCATCGCGACAGGTGAAAATTCACTGTCCGCTCGTTGATGGCAGAACATTATTCGTACGGTGATCGAGGCATTGACTGTGAACAGTCAGTTTTTCCCCAAATGAGCTTTTGGAGCTAGGCCAGGATAGATCAGCTGCTAGGCTATCGTTATCTAGAGTTTTGGAGGCACAACCGAAAATCGAGCCTTGGAAGACGCCTGGGTTGATAACTTGGGCTCCAGAACACTGACCGTTAATAACTAACGTACATAAGATCCATTGCTAAAGATCCCAGAAAAATAGTCGTACCGCTCCAGTAAGTATATATATATATATATATAGTTTTGAGGTGTGCTATATTTATGGGATAAAGTGCTCAATATCAGAGATAGAGCGTATGTAAATGTAAATATAAAAATGAACCTATATAAATCAACACTCAGAGGCGACAGGCTGTTTCAATACTAGGCGCACTCGTCAGGCCGGCTGATGATTGAGCCTAGCATGAAACAGCCTGTCGCCTCTGAGTGTTGACTTCAAGGTTCAATTTTATATTGATATTTACATTATTTTTATATTAAGTTAAAATGATGTATGCGTTTTTTTTTATTGGTATGACTGATTTCTACCAAATATTTCTGGATTTTCATGCCAACTGTCTTTGACAACTTGTTAAAGGTTTTTAACTTGAAAATTCAACCACAACCTTCGGTAACCGGTCACGGCATCTTTGGTTCCTGATTTTAAGTCGTCCTGGATATGGCGATAAACTACATCCGCGTTCTGAGTAAGACGGTAAGCTAGATCCGACAGCAAGTCCTCTGATCAGGAGGTTTTGAGGAGCGTGGAACTACCTCTTTATTGCCCCCAGGTCCACCCTAACCCGGCGTGGTAGCACCTGTTAGGATCCCAGCTACGGGAAAATAGTTGACACCCAAAATAGAGTCAAACATTACATTCAGTTGTATGGATATGAGTTTTTCGAAAACTCATCTCCCTATAACTGAATATGTTAGCTCTATCGCTGATATTGAGCGCTTTCCACTAAATACTGCGCATATAAAATATATATATATATATATATATATATATATACATGAATGTATGTATATATTATTTATTTTAGGATATTAAAAAAAACATGTTAAAAATCGTTACACAATTACAATTATGTTTCTACACTACAAATGTGTCTCCTCGGGCGATGTCAAACTACTGGCGAGGGAATAATTAATTTAATTTCAAACGCAGAATACTATGAAAAAATACGCTTGTGGCTTTACCGTTATTAACCAATCGAATGTGATCTACGCTAAATTCAAATCCTGTGGAAAAAAAATAATATAAGGCATGACAAGAAGTTGTCTGCATATAAATCCTAGACACTTTACTTATGGACAGATACAAGTGGTTACATTTTTTTCGTAAGGTGTATCGAAGTTTTTTCATTCAACTTTTCTAAGAAGTAAAAGGAAAGAGGTGGAGAGGTAATTTAATCTAATGCTAAGCAAAACCCTATATGCTCGTTCAGCTTCTTCGACAACAAATTTTGTAGTTGATAAATAAAAGGCTCCTTATAGTAATATGCAAAGATTTTAATATATTCAAAACACCACTAGGTTTGGTTCGAAATAAAGCAATTCACTCGGCATCAGAGGAAAGCACTAAAAATAAAAATTGACACGTTGTATGATAAAATGTTAAATACTTCTTCCACATCACAACTGAGCTGGCGTAAATTTAGGAAAGTAAATTAAAGGTATTAAAAGAAAACTAAAAATATATCTGACATTAAGTCAACTCGAAATCGATTCAGAAATGTTTGTCGAAAAGGATGCCAGTTGGTTTATGATTGTTTATTGATTCCTTTCCTTAGGATGGCATATGAACGGCAATTAAACTCCAAACATCGGGAAAAGAAAACTAACCACTTTTCATGGGTGGTTGGTGGAGAAACACCAAATTACTTGATAACAACCAAAACAGTAGCCAAATTATTAGAGTAAAAAAAACAAAACTGCATCTACCCGTGTAAAATAAAACAAATATAAACTGTCCCCACCTATTTCATGTCTAAAAAGTGGGCAAAAATTCAAACCCCAATAGTATAAGGCGATGCATTATGTTTAGATCAATGGTTCACGACCGATGCCAACCTCTGAAATATTTAATTCTTACATGTGTGCCAATTACACATTTGCGTACATAGACACAAAATATTTTTATGTATGCATAACTGTATATGCATTGTATGTATTAACATTAACACTCTCACTCAGACTCACTAGAAAACAATTCTCGAATTGCCCCCTTTCTTCTTTTGATATAGGAAGCCGAAGGGAGTACATCCTACACATGCCCCACCAAAATATTACCAGGCCCCACCGGTTGGGCATGCGCCCCACATTGGGAATCATTGGTTTAGATGCAGCGATTTTGTAAATAGTAGATAATATTTTTATGAAGTTTTAAAATTTCGATATCTGAAATATTTTTTATGGATCATTTAAGGAAGAGTTGAGTTTTTCTCCATTACACGAAAATTGTTTTACCATTGTGCCCAAATGTAAAAATAAAATAAAATATAAAAATAAAATTTAAAAAAAATTAAATTAAATTAATTGCTTTAATACTTTAGATTGTTTAAGTGGAATATTCTAGAATGTTCCAATGTTGTCAGTATTTATTTTTAGCTTGAAGATACAAACAAAACGTTCTGTAATTGATATTCGTGCAAGAAGGTTTTCATTATGGCAAGAGGTTAAAGAATTGACAAATTCACAACAAGAACTGATCATTAAGGTCTGGAAAGAAGGTAAAAGTTACTGGAAAATACCAGACAACCTAAATATTCTATTTACTACCATTAGTGCATTCAGTGCAAGGTATAAAAAAAAACTGAAAAATGTCGAGAACCAAAGAGAAAGTTCTCCACGGAAGATTTCTTCAAGGTCCTCGAGGAAATTCAGTCAGTTTTTTGCCATGCGTGATACACGTTTAGGCTATCATGTATCTTTCGATACATGACTGACGAGACAGATTTTCTCCTGCAGTAGGTTGACCTTTCTTCTATTTACCCGTAGCTGGGGGAGAAGAGGAGCTTTCATACCTTTCCCATCCAAAGCAACTGGTCTGCCCTGCTATTTACCCAAGCTGGTGGAGAAGGTTATTAAATTAACAGGTGAATGTAATGGATTTACTGAAAAATAACTCGGCTACTCGAATTCCTAAATCCGAGCCGCTATCCATTTACTCCATTTCCTTGCCAAAAATTGCCATATTATTCAACCACGGCCTCCAGATGACTTCGGCATCTCCTTAAACTCTTCTGGGCGGTCTTCTTATTTAAGTTGGTCAATGCTGCCATAATCCTTGCCTTTAGTTTATCTTTGGTGTTAAAAAAGTTTTGTTGGTCTCTCGCTGAACTGCGCCCTTCACATAATAATCAAGTGGGTTTTAGTCTGAGCTGTTAAGTAGCAAGAGGTGATGTGGTCGGAGAAATTCTCTGACAGCCATGACTGGGTTCTCCTGCTTGTGTGAGATCGTGTAGAGTCCTGTTGCCAGACATAGGGTCTTCCAGCAGCCACCGTCTTGACCCTGGGCAGCACTGCCTCCTCAAGGTACTTGATGTAGGCCTCCGTGTTGAGTCTGAGGTTCTCACCAACAAAATCGGGAGTTCTTTTCTTATCAGAACGATCAGAGTGAGTTTTCCGAGCTGCCGTATCTTCGTAATCACCATTAGACTCATCCAAGTCTTTCCGAATCTTTTGCACAATCCTCAGATTGACACCCAAACGCCCCAAAATGTACGTACGGGAGCTTCAGGGGCAAATGACAAGCACTGCAGCATGCCCTTTCCAAACGACGGACCCTACTATACTGTGCAGTAGACAAAAAGAAACAGCGCGCATGCGCGAAATTAAAAATATAAAATTGCGACAGTTTAACCATCGCATGTACGTAGAAAATGTTGTGGGAAACAACTTTTCTCTTCCGGTCGTATTATTATTTGTTTTATTAAAAAAAAAAAGAATCGCCAGTATCGAATGTGCTTCTTCATCCTTGTTCTCGACCATGACATCAGTTTTCCTCATAGTTGAAGCACATAAGCTGATTTTTTTTTCATTCTGGCGCCAAAACTCTAATCTTATTGTGGCTTGTTTCTGCTTTGCTTCCTACTCTCTCTTTTTTTTTCTCTCCTTTCTGTTAAGGTCGTTTCAATGTCAAGTGATAATGCCGGCAGATACGATGGCCAATCGCTCTTCGCCCAGGCACCCCCTCTAACCCCTCCAAGCTACGACCTAT